GGAAAACGAGGCAGAAATGAGAATTTCATGGACTTAGAGATTGGTTTGGGTTGGAAAAACCTAAAAGATCAACAAGTGCCACCCCCTGCCACGGGCAGGGACATTTTCCACTGGACCAGGGTGCTCCAAGCTGGCCTTGGACACTCCCAGGGATGGAGTAGCCACAGCTTCTCTGGGCAACCTTTAAATTCACCTTAAAACATTCAGGTAAATCCACTCTTATGTTTCATTAGAGGTAAACAATGGGAATTCAGTTTCCTGAATTAAAACCAGCAGGGAATGCCTGCCCTTTCTCTTTTGTCCATTGGACACTAATCAATTTTAACAGCCTCTTAAACTATTAATTAAATATACAAAATAAACTTTATTAACTAAATAAACTAAATTTTTAGAGACTAATCCGTCACATTTCCCTAAAAATAAAATAAAAAATAAAAAAAAATCAGGTGCCCTGCACTGCTCAACTACTTTTCTTTTTTTTTTAAACACCAGGGCATGAAACAGCAGAGTAGAAGTTTACACCTTCAGCAGCTTCACCTATTTATTTAATTAGCTTTAATTATAATCACAGGAATAATATTTAATTAAGGAAAATGTGATCAGTTTGGAAGCCATCATTTAATAGTCCCCCTGCCAAAAGGCACAACAAGCTTCAGTTCATTTTGTTGAAGGCAGCAAAATTCCCCCCAGAACCTTTTAAAAACAAAAAAACCAAACACCAAACACACCTAATTTCTGATCTTATCACCCGTGAGGCCTCTGAAAGGGCAAGTCTGAGCAGATCCAGGGGGTTTGTTTGACTCCAGCTCAGGAGGAAACGATTCTTATTCCACTTCTGAGAGGGCCTCGTTGCAATAAATCCCTTCTCCCTCCCCAAAAACCCACGTTTCTAAAGTCAAATTGAGGACCAGAATGACCACGAGAGTCTGCAGAAATAGATTAAAAGGGAAAAAAACAACCATAAAATCCCTTCCTTTTTGCCAGACACACCAGCACCTGAATGTGCTCTCCAGATCTTTTAGGACTTTTTTTTTTTTCCTTTTCACTTCAAAGGCTTTTCAAACATGTTTAGACAAAAAGAAAGGAAAAAAAAAAAAAAAGACCAATTATTAATCCTCTTGTCTGGTCTTTTAGCTTATGGGGCTTATTTTGGGGTGGTTTTTCTCCTTTTGCTGGCCATATGTTCTCTGCTGGGGAATTCTGGAGTGATCATAAGCCATTAAAGCTTTAAAAACTTGAGGTTTTATGAAAAATTTTAAATCGATTACTGTGTAGTCTGTACACAGACAGGATTTCCACTACCGGTGCTAAATAATTCTGAGCTCTCAACGCCCAAAAGTGGAGAAATTCCACCCAAAACGTGAAGGTAAAAGAAAATAAACAAACAGCCCAGGCTGTGCCTTCTGAACACACCGCCCTGAGCACATCCTGTGACACCACCCAGGATGTCACCGAGCGCTCTCAGACACCAAAAGTGACTCACTTTGTCCCGGGATAAACCCCCAGGACAGGATAAAAACCCCTCCAG